TTCACCACATTTGCTGTGTACCCATTTTGTCTTCAGTAATCATGTCGGGAAGATGAGCATACTGGAATGCCAGGTTATTAGAACAAAGTGTTCTTGCATTAAGGGAGTACTTGAGTAAAGGCCCATTGTCCATCTGCTACCTTAATACTAAACCTATAAATACATGTACATAGATCTATTTCCCCATCCTCATATATAAATATATTTACATATGTTTATACCTGTATTTAGACCTCTATAAATGCCCTTTGCCTCCTAGTTCTTTCCTCTACTTCCTTTTACTTTCCTCTTGTCCCACTAACATGTTCAGCCTTCATAGGGGTTTCAATAATTCCTCTCGCTTACATTGCTCTTGATCAAGCCCTACCAGGCATCCTACACCCTCCTTGCCATTGATTTTTGATCACTTGTTCCCTTGTCCCTGGGTTTGTTAAGACCCACTTCCTTTCCCATGTTTCCCCCTCTCCTGTGTCCCCCCATAACCATCAGTTCTGCTGTTTCTGTTTATCCCACTTAACTTATCTAGGTGGACATGCAGAGACAATAATGAGCACAAAAACAAGACAGAGCAAAACAAAGCAAAAAAAAGAAAACCAAACAACAACAACAACAAATAAACCAAGGACAAAAAAAAGAAAAACCTATAAATAGTTCAAGGTCTGTTTGTTGGAGTGTTTTAGGAGTGTTTTCCGGTCAAGTCTGATGGGGTGCCATGCTCTGACCCCCACAGTCTATTTTTGGTATTCCCAGGGACTTCATTGCTTTCTTCCCCTTGCTGTTCTGTTCCATGCCCTTAGTGTTTCACATCAGTGTGGTGGAGTCAGATCGGGCAATATGTCTCCAGTATTGTGCCCCTTAGTGCTCAGGCTCAGTGAGTGATGTTGTGTCTCGTGGTGGGGCCGGCCCTATGGTCCTATCATGTCATTGTGAATGAGGGGGAGTACGGAGTGGAGACTCAAAGCTCATCTGTAGGCATCTGTAGGCAACCCTTACAGAAGGGTTGGGTGGGGGAGATGAGATGAGCCAGTTAGGGTGCAGTATAGCACCAATGAAACATACAACTTTCCTCTAATTCTTTAATGCTTCCTCCCACCCACTACTGTGACCCCAATTCTATCTTACAAATCTGGCTAGACCAGAGCATGTACACGGGTACAGATAAGAACTGTAAACACAGGGAATCCAGGACAGATAAAGTCCTCAGGACCATTATTGAGGGTAGTGATACCAGGAGGGGAAGGGGAAAGTAGAGGGAGAAAGGGGAAACCAGTCATAATGATCTACATATAACCCCCTCTCAGGGGGACGGACAGCAGAAAAGTGGGTGAAGGAAGACATTGGTTAGAAATAAAAATTTTTTTTTAATTCTCAAGGGTTCATGAGCGAGGGAGGGGGTAAAAAATGAGGAGCTGATCCCAAGGGTTTATGTAGAAAATGTTTTAAATATGATGATGACAACAAATGTACAAATGTGCTTGACACAAAGGATGGATGTTTGGATTGAGATAAGAGTTGTAGGAGTCCCCAATAAAATTATTTAAAAAGGAAAAAAAGCATAGGAAGCAAGTTCTTTTTTTTTTTGGAAGCAAGTTCTAAGGATAAAAAAAGTCAAGATTTCATACAGAAATGCATATTACTCAAGAAAAAAAGCCCATTGTTACATTGAACTCTCAGCAGCACACACAATAAAAGACAGTTAAGATGTGCTTGCAGAGCTCCCGGGAGAAAGGACTGCATCTCTAAGATTGTAAGCCCTCAGCACTCTATTTTAAACACCTAGTAGCTCAACCAAAGGACAAGTAATTGGGAAGAACATAAGGTATGAAGTGCGAAGAGTAACTTATGTAAATGATCACTATAAAATGATTGTAACTTGAATATGTTAAGAACTTACTCTTAAAATTTGGGCATTTTTAACAAAAGAATGCATAATTTAAACAAACCCTGGAAGGAACATATAAAGGTGATGTTGTATATGATAACAACTCTTTCAAAAAGAGACGTATATTTGCTAAATAATATAATGACAACCACTTGTAGAAAAGAATTAGGATATAGAACATCCAAATATTAAATAGAAAATAAGAAAAATAATATATACATCTAAAACATCTTAAGCAACAGCTAGGAGAAAACATGGCTTTATAGAGGCATAGGTTTTTAACAATAGATTTTTAAATGTGACACCAAAAGGATTAGCAAGAGAAGACAAAATAGATGTGGCACTATCAGGTAAGGGTTGGACTGGTAACCATAAGGTCGGTGGTTCAAGCCCACCAGTAGAACAGTGGGAGAAATTTGAGGCAGTCAGCTCCTATAAATTTGGGTTCACAGCAAGGGAATCCTATGGATCAGAATCTACTCAACGGCAGTAGAAGAGTTTTTCATTAAAATTTAAAACTTTTGTTTAGCTAAAAAAAGAACCAACCTTTAACAAAAGGGATACATTTTCAAAATTATATGAGAGGAAAAGTGGAATGATAAGACATTGAAGGGAAGGGGAAGAAATGTGGAGCTGATATCAGGGGCTCAAGTGGGAAGAGAATGCTTTGAAAATGATGATGGCGGCATATGTGCAAATGTGCTTGACACACTGGATTAATGTATGGATTGTGATAACAAATGTAAGAGCTCCCAGTAAAAGTATTTAAAAAAAAAAGAATAACCACTATACTTTGTATCTTTAGATAAGTGTTGGAAAAGATAGGAAGTCTCATTACTATTTTTGTTATCTTTACTTGCTTTGCTATAAAATAATGCCCATTGACATATTTGAAGTTTTCACAAACTTTATCTATGTGGAAAATAATAATGATTACATTGCAATGTAATAAACCACGATCAATGAAAAAAATAAAGAATGTTACGTGGTGGGAGTTGCAACCAGTAAGATGAAACAAAATGTGCATAAATTGTTGAGTGGAAAACTAATTATCTGCTTTGCTAACCTTCACCCAACTCACAATAAAAAACCTTACTCTATGTAAATTTACCTGGAACTATGAATACATTTTTTTTCAATTGTCCCAGGTCTATCAGAGGATGCTCAATAAAATTTCTTAAAGAGGAAAAAGAAAAAGAAAACGCTATAATATTTTGGAATTCTAAAAAAAAAAAAAGAAAAAGACATTGAATTATTTTCACAGACCTTTTGCAGATCCTTTGTTTAAGATTCAGAATAAGAGTTTAACATTTAGAATATATAAAGAATTCCCATATTTTAATAAGAAAAAGACAGACAATCCTCTAAAAAATAGGCAGATGATTTGAATGAACAATTCACTAAAGAAGATAAACAAATGTACAATGAGTACATGAAAAAATACTCAAGATTATTCGCCATGAAGGAGATGATAGCTTTAAACTTGCACTAAAATGGTTAATTATTTTATTTTTTTAAGAAAAGGAAAGCAGTGAATGATGGCGGGAGTGCGGAGTGGAGACCCAAAGCCCATTTGTAGGCCACTGGAGATCCCCTTGCAGAGGGGTCTCAGGGAGGAGATGAACCAGTCAGGGTGTGATGTAGCTAACAATGAAAAATACAACTTTCCTCTGGTTCCTAAATGCTTCCTCCCCGCCCCCACTATCATGATCCAAATTCTACCTTGCAAGTCTGGCTAGATCAGAGGATGTACACTGGTACAGATAGGAACTGGAAACACAGGGAATCCAGGGTGGATGATCCTTACAGGACCAGTGGTGTGAGTGGCGATACTGGGAGGGTAGAGGGAGAGTGGGTTGGAAAGAGGGAACCGATTACAAGGATCTACATGTGACCTCCTCCCTGGGGGACGTTCAACAGAAAAATGGGTGAAGGGAGACGTCGGACAGGGAAAGATATGGCAAAGAATTAATTTATAAATTATCAAGGGCTCATGAGGGAGGTGGGAGTGGGGAAGGAAGGAAAAAATGAGGACCTGATGCCGGGGGCTTAAGTGGAGAGGAAATGTTTTGAGAATGATGAGGGCAATGAATGTACAAATGTGCTTTACACAATTGATGTATGTATGGATTGTGATAAGAGTTGTATAAGCCCCTAATAAAACGAATAAAAATAAAACATTTAAAAAATAAATAAAAGAAAATCAGCAAGTACTGGTGGAGAAACAGAAATTCTTATCCACTGCTGGTAGGAATGCAAACTGGAACCGCCACTGTGGACAAGCCATTGATGGCCTCTAAGAAAGGTGCACCATCATGGTTGTGCGCAGCCCTGACTCACAACCGAACAAGACTGCCGGGTCAGCTTTCCTAGGTTATAGTTTTCACGGGAACAGACTGACAAGTCTTTTCTCCTGAGAAGTCGCTGGTCACAATTCCATTCTCAGCTATACACTCAAGAGACTTAACAGTGAAACAGACACATATACATCAATGCTTGCAGCACTATTTACAGAGGTTAAAAGGTGAAATGCCTATCAACTTCTGAATGGATAAATAAAATATAGTACATGCTACACAGATGAACCTTTGCTACACATAGATGAACCTTGAAAACATTATGCTGAGTGAAGTCAATCAATCACAAAGGACAAGTACTGTATGATTTCATTTACATGACATATCTAGGATAGGCAAATGTACAATGACCACAGTTTCTAAGTGGTTGGTAGAGGGGGGAGGGGGAGGGAAAAGGAGAGTCATTGATTTGGAAGCAGTAAGCTATTGTGTAGGTGATAGGAAATTTGACAATGATTATTGGTGAAGGTTATATATTAAGATGAATGTAAATGATATCAATAAATTATATATGTGAAAAATGTTGGCATAGTAAAGTTGTGTTATATATGTTTTACAATAATTAAAAATATATATACCTCAAGTGTTGTCCAAACTATCAATAATCATTGAACTTTCAGTGGTGGGATGAGAGGGCTTTTATTGCAGTACAGAGTGCACATACTTTTAAGTAATAATTAGATTAATAAAAAAATGAATCAATAAAATCTGTCAAGAAGTACAGCAAACATATGTTTAAAATATTGTAAATGAAATCTTACTTAGTTTCTCCATCTGATGCAGCTACAACTCTAGCTTCTTCAAGGTGAGGCCAATTAACAAACACAGACTTTCCAAGCACTAATGAAGCAACATTTTCTATGCTCTTAAAGAGAAAACAGAAAAATTCATTCAAGTTCAAAAGAAAAGCTCAGAAAGGCAAAGTTAAACTATTAAAACTGGTCCAAATGTTCTTAAGTGTGTATTTAACGCTAAGAAAAACTCACCTTATTCATTAAATCAGAAAAATACCAAGAGTTTAAAATTTAAAGTTCGAACGAGAACTGCTCACTCACGGCCGTTATTTCCAAGAGTACACAAACTTATCTACTTTAACCCAAATAATTTACTCCATCCACTCTATTCAGTTAGTTTTATTGCTAAGTCTCTCCTTCCAATACAATTTGCCAGACTTTGTTTCCATTTCTTTTTTTCTAAAAAACATTTCTTACTTATTTTTAACTATCTGCCTTTCACTTCAATAATGGCCCTCTGAAAAGTATTTAAGATACTAAGGCATTCAATAAATTTTAGCTGTGATTATCACTGTTATTATCAGTTCTATTATTCTTTCCAATTTCCATTTCCTTCTGCCAATCCCTTCTCATTAGAGACCTACTACGATCAACTGAAAGTATCTAATGTTGCTATAACCAACATCGAGACACCTTAGACATCGAGATAACTTTATAGAGAATTAACAAGTAGTTTATTGCAGTTACATGAGGTCAATTATTAATGAATGCATCATATCTAACTTGCCAGGGTTCATAGCAGTTCTTCTTTTCCTTGTTTTTATAGTTCTGCTTGGGTCAGATTTATCGCCTGACTCTTACTTTCTCAACTGCACTGTCAATAAGAGTGGTCACTTTGTATGAGCCCCTAATAAAACGATTTAAAAAAAAAAGAGTGGTCACTAACATTAATCTTGAATAGAATGACTATGAGAAAAACAAGTTTTAGTAAAATCAAACAAGATAGCATGAGCACATAGTTTATGTGATTTTCTATCAAAATAAATTTCATAAGAAACCTATATTGTTAGTTCACCATTATATGATTGTTTCTTTTTTAATCTCTATTTAAATTTCTTGGTTTGCACAACTGAATGGATTGGATTTACATAATTCTCAGTAGTAAAAATTCTATGCACTAATTAGGCTTATGATTATTTTGCTTATTTTTCTCATGAAAAAGATGAAGAGAACATAGGAAATGCCTAGAAATGCTATTCCTTTTGTCTAGCAGTTCAAATCTTCTTTCTTCTACAAATGTGTACTTAATCTTTAGCATTCATAGCTCATACCCATTTCAGAATTTTTTGAACAGTATTTTTACTCATTGTGTCACAAATACACGCTCTGATCGATGTAAATGTTGTAAAAAATTGTGTAAATGTTTCTTTCCTCTATTAAGAATGAACTTTGAGAGTTAAAATATTTTATACATCTTTGGTAACACCACAGTCCCACCTACTCCCCATCTACTATCATTGAGCCAATTCAGATTCACAGAGACCCTATAGCATTTCCAAAGCTGTAAATCTTTATAGGAACAGAAAGTCTCATCTTTCTCCAGCAGTGCAGCTGCTGGGTTCCAAATGCTGACTTTGCGGTAACCCACCAGGGCTCTTCTATACGTATTAAGCATCTGTGGTAGTAAGTAATTTCTTGTCGACTTGATAAATAATTGTAGGGGTGGAGTCTAGCCTGTCACTCAGGTCACAGACTGATGATGCCTCCTTGCGGATGTGACCTTCGCATGAGGATTTTGAGAACGTCCTCTCTCTCTCTGCTTTACCTTTCTGCTGTTTAGCCACTTGGAGAGCTGCCAGTGACACTGAGACCTGTTAGAGCCCTGGAGATCCTTCCACCACCACTGGATCCACAAGACTTTGCACCCACCAGCCTGTAATCTTCCTGCATTTTGCATCATTGCATGAGATTGTGTGAGTCTGAAGAAGGATTTTTGGCCTAATATTGTACTTACATACTTGATCTGGACTGGGCTGGGAAATTTTCTTAATATGCAATTACTCTTTGATATAAAGCTCTTTCTTATACATATATGAATGTCCCTGGATTTGTTTCTCTAGTCAACCTAGTCTAACACAGCATCTAATAAATAAATAATAAATAAAATACTTACTAGTTCATCTGAGTCTACATTTAGTAAGATTTCCAACATCATATTTTCTCCACGACTGCTTTGTTGGAATACTTGTACACCACTTTTCTTCAAAAAAAACTTAAAAGAGAAATTGGAGAATTTCATTATTTTGTCAATCATCACTTTATACTCAATAAAAAGAAAAATTCTGAAGTAGCCACTAACTTTGTGTTTGATATGCTTCAAAGTAGGAAATCCACAGAAATATAATGCCTTCTGGTCAACCCTGGTTATTTTGTTTTTGCTTATGTCTACACGCCAAGCATCTAAAGATATTATTTGGTACCTAGAAAACAAATCAATACAGTTACATTAAAATAATACATTATATACAAGTGTAATTTTTCAACTTACCCTTGGATGTTTTGCAAGAGTTATCTATTTTTTTATTTAAAAAGAGCATGGCAATTACTACCCTAAGATAAAGAGAGTTTCTTTGTTGTCAGTGGTCTACACCAGGAGTCAGCAAACTTTTGAGACAGAAGAGCCAATCCTGTCCCTCACAATAATTTTAAAATTGAGAGCCATAAATATATTTTTATAAACATACAAAATCAATATAACCTAAATAATATCCTTTAAAACTTTTGGGTTTATCTGCTTTCAACACATGGAACTCAAGACAGGTAAAACCCTCAGGAACAGTAGTGGAGTAACGATATCATGAGAGTAAGGGGAGGAGCGGTGACCCATCACAAGGTTGGATATATAGCCCACCCGCCAGGGGGATGAGTAATAGAAATGTGGGTGGAGGGAGACAACGGACAGAGTAGGACACGAAATAAAAATAATATATAATTGATCAAGGATTCAGAAGGGTGGGAGGATAGGGAAAAAAGAGGAGCTGATACTAAGGGCTCAAGTAGAAAGAAAATGTTTTGGAAATGTTGACGGCAACATATGTACAAGTGTGCTTAATACAATTGAATGATGGATTGTTATAAGATTTGTACCCCACAATAAAATGATTTTAAATTTTACTTCAGAGCCATACGCACGTACTGAGAGAGCTACATATGATTCATGAGCCACAGTTTGCCGACCCTGGTCTAGACACAACCATGTTTGTAGGTTATTGAGTATACAATTTCTACTACTAATTTAAATGGAAACAACAGATGAAGGGATTTCAAGAAGTTTGTGGAAAAATTCCATTATCTTTGCATTCAATTTTCTCACAAACTTTTTGGATCCCTTATATAACAAACTTTTTTTTTCTTTTTTAACATTTTATTAGGGGCTCAAACAACTGTTATCCCAATCCATACACACATCAATTGTGTAAAGCGCATTTGTACATCGTTTC